TTAAGTGGGAGAACTTGCACAATTGGTGGCTGACTAAATACTTTTTTGCCCCACTGTATGTTTATCAATTTGCACTGGCAACCAATAGCTGCTTGCATAAAATTCAAGGCATTAATTTTTGCCTACAAAACCATCACTGGCTCTGCACCCCTTTACCTAAATTCATTACTTCAGACTTATGTGCCCTCTAGAAGCTTGCGTTCTGCAAGTGACACTTGCATGTCATTGCTCTTTTGTTGATTTTGATTGCTTCAATTGTCTTCATTTGTAAGTCGCTTTGGATAAAAGCATCTGCTAAATGTCTAAATGTAAATGTAAATAATGTAAAATATGCTTACTTCTTTAAATCCCAACAAAAGATTAAAACATAATAATTTAAATGTTCTTTAAAGTAAATCTTTAAATGTCAATAAACATTATTACAAATTACACCTTTTAAAAATATGCTCTCCTCAAGTACACTTAAGTTCTTATTTAATTAATATTATCTGCAAGTAGTTTTTAAAATATACTTTTAAGATCTAAAGCACACAATCACACATTTTATACAATTACACATACTTATTTTACAAGAGACAATACAAATAATAAAAACCAGCAACATTTCACTTTCATTTTACAATTCCTAAACTTTACTTATTGTATTCTGTGGACAATGCTGATGACAGCAGTTTAGTTGATGATTATTGCAGATATAAGCAACGCACTGTGAGACAGACATCGCTATTCACTGAACTATGTCAAATATTTGGGAGGTAAGCTCTGATCTCTGCTTTTCATTACACCTATAAGCTTCATTCCTCAAGAATGTAACCCACTGCAGAGTGAGCAAGGTGACATTTAGAGGAAAATCCAAATGAAAGGAATTAAGCAGCTTTGACTGGGCATATAATTGCTTCCTGCAAGGTTACAGCTGTTCATTGGCTGAATTTTTTTCCAGTCAAAAAGGCATTTGTACATGCACACACACGTGCACACACACATGTACACACACACACACAGTAAGATGAAGATGCATGTAATCGTATATCACACTTTTAACATGCCATGCTCTCACCTGCAACATTAAAATATTTAAATATACAATAAACACATTCAAAAAATCAATGGTAATATTTGTAACTTTAGTAAAACATGGCAAATTGAGCCCAGTACAGCAGTAGTACTGAAAAATTCACTTCTACTGCATCCAAATTACCACACTTGTGCTGCAAATCTGCAGAAGTACAGTATCCAATTTACATACTTGTACTGTATAATTATGATGCATGATTGGCTGCAGTTTTAGAAGTTAGTATAGTCTCCATGTGTAGCATAATATATTTGAAGTTTTCATTGCAAAATTTACTTAATAAAATAGCTAAAAAAAGACTGTTTGGCAACAATAGCAGCAATGACTGAATCAATAAAGCCACAGTATATGGTAAGTTATTTTGAAAAAGCTTTACAACTGCATATAGTGAAATATGAAAACTGCAACAGTATCCATGCCAATGCACTGCAGCTGTTGCCCAGAAACTGCAGCTTAGTTCACGTTTCAGTGCAGCTGTCCATCAGACCTGTTTCTGTACTGATCTGAAGTACTACTGAATTGAGCTTTACTTGTATTGCACTACATTGACAACAAATATGACTTTTCCAGGGTTTAAGTGCTATAATCAGGTCCCTGGTGCATCTACCAATCAAGGAAACATGAAAAAGATTAACCCAATCACTTTGTTTAGGTAAGCCTTTTTCTGCAAGCATCTGAGAAAACGAGCGTGTCTGATTTCACTCCCTTGGTGACGTGGCAAAGGGATCTCATTATAATATTACCGCCCCTTAATCTGTAAACTTCCACTCAAGGCAACTTCATTTTGATTTCGCAAGCGACAACGGGGTATCAGCTCTAATGCCATGGCGAAAGTTTGAGCAAAACATGCTAACTGTTCTGTTTTTGGCTGCACAGACGAGCACAGAACACTATTTAGAGTCCCAGCCTCAGAGGAGACAAGACAGCAGTGGATTTATTGATTTATTTAGGCTACTGTATATTGCTGCTGCCACACAGATCTAAAATAAACAAGCGATTTATTTCCCAGCTGTTTATCTTCACAGATATAACCGACTGTTTTTGTAACTCGTGTGTTTTTAACGTAAATTTGTATGTGAATGAGAACTTAGTTTAGTACTCACATGCTGTGACAGCAGCTTTCTCGTCTATGTGCTTCGGATGTGTGCGCTCAGAAAACCGTATATCTGAAGTTTAAAATCATATGGTTTAAAACGCATGATTTCAGCGCGATAAACATGATAATCAGAACCAAAACAGATTTTTTTTAGCAGATACGAGCTGTAAAGGCACAGCTCTATTCTGGAAAAGGGGGTGGCGAGCAGCAGCTCATTTGCATTTAAAGACACAGGCCCGAAAAACAGCTTGTTTCTGCTTCCACTCAAAATAGGCATTTTCAAAATTATATAATAAATGATCTGTGGAGTATTTTGAGCTGAAACTTCACAGACACATTCTGGGGACACCAGAGACTTATATTACATATTGTAAAAAGGGGCATAATATGTCACCTTTAAAGTAAAATCTAGTTGTCCTTGAGAGTTGTTCATCAATACTGTGTCCTTTTATGCTACAAAACTGCATTTATCACTGCATACAATCACACTGCAGTTTGACTGCAGTTCTTTCCTTTAAGGGAAAGATTAATCATCAAAGACCTGTAGATGATAGAAGCAACTGACATGACTTGACGTCAACACGTGTCTTGTGAAGAATACTTGTGGAGGGGCTGAGAACACACACAGAACTTCAGCAGATGTGAAGTGGATGATCCACTTTAGTGAACCTCTATGTTCTTTGAAGAATGATAGACTCTTTCAGAGTTACAAACCAAATGCACAGCTGTGTGATAGATGTGAGATTCAGTGACTTTAAAAAGACAGGAGTTTTCCTTATCAGAATTTGACTTTAAAAGACACCTCACACCTCTCTCAGGTAGGGCTGAGCGATATGGCAAAAAATCAAATCTATATTTTTTTCAGAAGGTTTGACTGATTCTCGATTTTTATGATTTTTAACTTGTCAACTTGAAAATTTAACTTTTTCTTTAATAAACCTCTAGTTAAAGAAATTTCTATTTTAAGTGCACCACACATGGAGTTGTCAACATGATGTAAATGTTAAGCAAATTACTTGTCAATGTTAAATATCTTTGCAAAAAAGATGCATGAACTACAACTACATCTTCTACAAACGTGTCTTATACATATTATATGTTCAGAAATTATACAAGGAAAATGCTTTAAAAAACTCTCAAAAGTAAAGGTAATTCAAATTCAAAATGACTGCAGGTATAACACCAGTAGACTATTATTAACTATTATTAACTAGGCTATAAATGATCTGTAAAAACAATGAACAGCAGCTTTCAGCCTGTCACCATGATGCAAACATGAACTTTCAGACATACACTAGTAGTTCTTTACAGGTTTTTATTCGATTGCACTGCTTTTCCACTGTTTTTTCTATGAAAACTATTGGTCATAGACACGTTTGACTGTTGCGCTCTCGTCTATTGCAGCATCTCATGCATGAAATGACATTCTAAAAACGCGGCGCTCAAGATAAAAGAAGTTGAACTCCCATCTTCCTGCATTTTTTCCTATTCCACTGCCTGCGTTGCATCTTTGTCAACACAAAAGCGCATTCTGTGTGAACGGCACCTTCTGGTCCTTCACAGAGCGCGCCACACGTGAGCGGTTAATCGCGTGCGCCGAAATGCGGTTGGATCATTTTCTATTTACTGTTAACATTGGCATATTGTCAAAGTGTCTAATTCTAACATTTAGTAATATTTCTATTCAGAATCATGATTCCTCGATTTCTAAAAAATAAAATCGTGGCAAAACATTAAATTCGAATTAATTGATAAAATCGTAATAAATCGCCCAGCCCTACTCTCAGGCAACAGAGTCTGTTGTAGGAGTAGAAGAGAAATAAATCTAACAATCTGTAGCCTAGAGATGGTTGATAATGGGCCGGACCACAGCTAAAATGGAGTTGGTGTGCAATGTACAATGCAGTTTGTTGATAGAAGTTCTCTAATCACTGAACACAGGCAACAGAGCAGGATGTTGTCATAGCAATCTATCCTGGAAATGCTAGACTGATATGTTTAGAATGTGTTTTTGCAGACCGCTGTTTCACCTACTCCCTACTGACACAAACATTCAGACATGCACAGAAACGTTCAATGGTTTCGAAAGATCTGAGATCTAGCTCTCTACACTTCATGGATCATTTAAACACAGAAGTGCAATCTAGTGCAATTTGAACAATGTTTTACTGTATGTATTTTACTTTATAAGTGCATGTATTGTCTTGTTACAATTCAGATTTCCGCCACAAATTATAAAGTAATTCATACTTTTACTTCCAAAATGGGTTTTTTTTTTACTAACATTTTTTTTTTTTTTTTAAGAAAACATACAACTGGAATCTAAACCAAAACATAAAACCCAACCCCTTACTCAAACCTAAACCTAATTATGAATAAAACCTGAAAGCTTGAACAAAAAGTACAATATCATATGATTTTCCATCTAATACAAATTATTTTTGTCTCAAGAATTTGTTGGTTACAATTTTTGTTGTTAAGTCAATGTTTATAGCAGTTCTAGTGTAATGTGTTTTACCTTGATGGTATTTTGTCTTTGGGTGTGTGACATTGTACACCATCTACATGAGTACCAGCTGTGTATTGGGTTTATGAAAAGGTCACTACAGTATGATGAAAGTTGATGTATCATGTGCTGTTGTTTTAACATCTGTACTATTGGTTATATATTTTGGCGGTTATAAAGATTTTAGTATTTCAGGTATGCTAGTTTACCCCTTCTAGTAGTTTTTCCTTTCTCACACTCAGTTAACAATGTCAATTAATATTCTAAATGGTTATGAATTGTAAAATATACAAGCATCTGTTTCATGTCTGTGGTTTTCTGTGTTGATTTTCCTTTGACCTAGTTTCCCTTATTGTCTTGATCATGTTATTCAGTTCACCTGTGTCCCATTAATTGAGTTATTAATCCCTCTCTTGCTTTTGTATTTATACTCCCTGTTCTGTTCAGTCCTTTGCCGTTATTGTTTCGCTGGTTGCTATGTTTTGTGTTGTGCTACCCCTTGCTCCTGGATTCCTTGTGTTTATTCTGTGGATTTATTATTAAAAGACTGTTTCTTGGACTACCCCTTCGTCGTGCACTTGAATCAGCAGAGCACCGTAACAGAATAACCGGCCTAAGTAAGTTTTTCTGCGTTTCCCTTTTCTTTTATTCCTTCCCCTGCTATGGATAACCCTGCTGTCAAGCTCATTTGACTGGAGAAAGAGGATCGCTCCCTCGAAGACCACATGAGGGACTTCTTTAGATCTTGCCTACCTAACACATTACCCGGACAGCTGCCTATGCATGTTTTATTATGTGGGACTGAACACCGCCACAAAGGCTAAGCTGTCTGGGAAAGGTCCCCGAGGGAGCTTCGCCACTTTCATGAAGTGGATGCTGGAGAATAACGGATCGCAATTCACTGTCTGGCCCGCTGAGGAGAACATCTGCAGCCCCACCCCCGAACCAGAGACCAGCCAGCCATCATCCCACTGCACGGAGCAATCATCTGAGCCCACCGCAGATGGAGAGCCTGAGCCTGCCGCGACACGAGAGCCAGCGTCAGAACCACCGACAGAGCCAATCATGGCCTTAGAGCCTGAGCCTCAAGACCCGTCTGACAAGGTGTGTGAGCCGGAAACTTTGCCCGTCCCTGAAGGAGTACTATTGGAGATCGAGGGCTTGGAGGGAAGCCCCACCCACACTCCCGCTGCTGAGGGTGAGCTGAAACTGGCCTCTGGGAAATATTATGAGAAACTTATGGACATTTGTAAGGAGGACTTAATTGATTGGTTTTGTCCCCTCCTGCCTCCTCTCCTAATGCCAGCCTGTTCCTCAGCCCTGTCTCCGCTGGTTCCTGTCAGTCCCTCAACTCACCCTCAGTCAGCGCCATCCGGACATTCTGATCTGCCTCGGGCCTTCAGTCTCCAGCTCCGCCTAGGCGTGAGGATCCCTCTTCTCTGCCTCTAGTCTTCAAGCCCTGGACTCCACCTCTGTCCTCCCACCCATCGGCTCTGCCTTGGCTATTATCAAAAGTATTGGAGAAAGCTGTTTTAAATCAGTTATCACCTTACTTAATTGAAAATAATATATTGGATCCTTTTCAGTCTGGTTTTAGATTCAAGCATAGCACTGAATCGGCCTTGTTAAGAGTGGTAAACGACTTGCTATTATTTGTGGATTCTGGAAATTGTGCAGTTTTACTGTTGGATTTAAGTGCGGCGTTCGATACAGTAGATCCCTGTATTCTTTTAAACAGGTTAAAAACCAAGGTTGGTATTTGTGATTCGGCCTTAGATTGATTTAAATCTTATTTTACTGCGAGGTGTTTCTCTTTGGAGATAGGTCAGTCTTATTCATCACCTGCCTCTGTTACTGGCAGGGTGCCGCAGGGCTCCATCTTGGGCCCAATTTTGTTTGTTTTATATATGCTCCCTCTTCGTTACATTTTTAAGTTTCACAAGGTCCTATATCACATTTATGCGGATGATAACCAGTTGTATATGTCAATTAAACCTGGGTCAAAGTCCTTATCTGACTTGCTTGCTTGTGTAAACAACATCAAAAGCAGGATATGTGATAATTTTCTTCAGTTAAATGAGAACAAGACTGAAGTCATTCTATTTGGCTCCCCCCATTAGGTTAATGGCATGTCCTCTAGTTTAGGACCTTTGCAAGCAAATATCCGTACTCGTGAAGAACATGGGTGTTGTTTTTGATTCAGAGTTAAAATTCTACAATCAAATAAACTCTGTTGTTAGAGCTAGTTTTAGAGCTAGCTTAGGGGTTTACGTAAACTGAAATCTCTTTTATCTTTTAGTGATCTAGAGACAGTTATTCATGCCTTTATTTCAACAAGGCTTGATTATTGTAATGCTTTATATGCTGGTGTCAACCAGTTTTCCCTTTCACGTTTGCAACTGGTTCAAAATGCTGCAGCCTGCTTCTTAATGGGGAAGAAAAAGAGGGAGCATATCAGCCCTATTTTAGCACATTTACATTGGCTACCAGTTAAATTTAGAATTGAGTACAAGGTTTTAACTTTTGTGTTTGAATCTTTGCACGGTCTGGCTCCAGTCTACATATCAGACCTTATTTGTTCATACTCACCCCGGAGATCTCTTAGATCATCTTCTGATAATCTATTAACCGTCCCATTGTCTCATTTGAAATCTAAAGGTGATAGAGCCTATTCCGTATTAGCCTCTAAGCTGTGGAATCCGTTACCTCAATCTGTTAGGTTATAATTTTCTTTATCTGCATTTAAATATCATCATTTAAATATCATCATTGAAAAAGTATCTCTTTTCTCAGGCCTATTTATAATTGTTGGATATGTTGGTCTTACTGAGTTAAATTCTTATTCCTGATTTTTATTTGGTTTTATGGGTTAAGCTGTTGACTTAAATTTTAAACTTTTTTTCATTGTGTTGTGTTACTGTGAAGCACCTTGGTTAGCATAAATGTTGTTTAAAGGTGCTATATAAATAAAAATGACCTTGACCATGGCCCCTTGCTCCTTCGTCTACAATGTGGCCTATCATCCCACTGGCTCAACGGGGTTCCCTCGTCCATTCGGCTCCACCTTGGTCAGTCATCGACCATCCGTTCCCTTGGGACTCCACTCCTCCGGCTTCGCCTCGTCACTCCGTCCCTTTGGCTCTATCAGGCTCCTCCGGATCTGTCTTCATCCTCAGTTGCTCCGGCTCTGCTGCGGTCTTCTGGGTCCCCGTCTCTGCCTCACTTGCATGAGCCATCAGCTCCGTCTTGGCCCTCCGGACCTCGGGTGTCGTCCTGGCTCTCCGTCTGCTCAGCTCCACCTGGGTCTCCTCCTTCAGCGGCTCCGTCTCCATCACTCATCCCCAGGGTGTTATCTGCCAAGTCTACACCATGGCTCCTCCCTCCCTCGACTCAACCCTGGGGCCTCATCCTGGCTGGTCTCTGAGCCAACACCTGGCTCCTCCTTCTCCTGGCTTCCCCATGGCTCCTCCCACCCTCCACTCCCCCATGGACTCATTTGGACTTTTAGTTTCTGCCTCTTTCCTGCTCCACGTCCCCCTCCAGAACCCCCGCCCTCGCTCCTCTGTTGGACCTTATGCAGCATGAGGACACACCTTCCCAGAGGGGGCGAACTGTTACATGTCTGTGGTTTTGTGTTGATTTTTCTTTGACCTATTTTCCCTTGTTGTCTTGATTTTATGTTATTTGGTTCAACTGTGTCCCTTTAATTAAGTCATTAATCCCTCTCTTGCTTTTGTATTTATACTCCCTGTTCTGTTCAGTCCTTTGCTGGTTATTGTTTCACTGTTTGCTATGTGTTGTGCTACCCCCTGTTCCTGTTTTCCTTGTTTATTGTCTGTGGATTTATTATTAAAAGTCGTGCGCTTGAATCAGCACAGCACCGTAACAGGAATTAAATGCCTCCTGTAATTCCTGTAACACCATATTTTTACAGTGAATGTCTGGCAACCACAACTGCTAGTTCTTTATCGTAAATTTATCAGTACTATTTTATACTGTACACTTGTTTGGAGAGAACTGGATGAACAACTATCACTTCACAAACAAATGTAGTTAGATATATGGCCTGTGAAAACTGTCCTTGCCATGAAACCAAGGCAACAGGGGAGGTGACAGATGACTACTGTTGATTATAGCACAAGGAGGAGTTGGACTTCAATGTGACGACAAGAGACTGCTTTAATGAGAGGGCAAGAAAACATATGTGTACTCACAAAAGAAGGGGGAAGGAGAAAGACGTAGAGAAAGAAGAGGAAAAAGGTTCCATGTGGGGTGGTCTTGAACTGAGAATCTGGCATTGCCCTGTCATTATTGATAACTTAGATGTATTCCAGACACATCTCATGTCACAGTTGTGATGAAAGCTTACTCTCTCATTGACCTCACACAAACACTGTTGACGTTGTTGAGAATTAGTCATGTGGTCAGGGAAAAGCTGCATTAATTTCCGATGACAGATTCAGACACTGCACCCTTTCACCGTCATCTCCCGCTTACCTTTGTACAGTTTGGCTCCCTCGACTACTGCAGGAAGGAAGTTACTGGGAGTCATCTTCCATCCTTTCTCTTCTTCCTGCAAAACAGCCAGTTTGTATTAAGATGGGTCCTTCACAAGTAAAGCATCACTAGATTACACTACATTAACCTTACATTGTAGACAAGGAAAGTTCTCTGAGATGATTTAAGGCAGGTTATGGATAAATCAGAGTGACTGAGATTCCACATGAGTGATCAAAGCTCTTCCCAGGGCGATGTTCTTGCACACTGCTCTGGTGCGGGGTCACCCTCAGCACTGGCATTTTAATGATGTGAATACACAGCGGGGGCTGAACACGATGCTGCAAGCATGATTTACGGTGCCTCCTGTTTTCCTTTCTCTCAACTAGGGGTCGCACATTAAAAGTAAATCAACGTCCTCACATACTCACGCGAATGTTTGGCTTGCGTGTCACAAGCACACACTCAGATCTCAGAGTGTGTCTGCTCAGGAGCAGAGCATTTTCAGAAGGAGTAAGCCAAATGGAGGCTGTATATTTTATGGGCCATTTGCAGCTAATGACTCCCAAAAGAGACACAAATCCATCTGAAAATATGAAAGGCCTTTAAGTGCCTAGGAGCAGTGATTTATGATTATTCATGTGGCATCAGACAGAACTTCCAAATGGATCTAGCAGATTATATCAAAGAAACCTGTGGTGAGGTCGGGAGCAAAATGAATTCATGTGCCAGGTTTAATTTAATTTTTCAGGTATAGGCAACAAAAATATTGATTTTTAAAAAATTTAAAAATATATATATTTTCAAAATGTTATGTTCTTGTATATTTTTGGCCATTGTATATATTTTCAATATACGTGTATTTATATTATCCAAAGTATATTAAACAAAAAATTGTTTTAAGATAAGACATGTTCTTGCAATTTGAAGAACATTTTCTAACTTAATTTTTGCCATTTTAAGCAAAATACATATTACTTATATAAAATATATGTCCTTTAGCCATGCTGTTTACAGCATATATTTAAAATATATTTTGGCCGTATGGTAAACAGTGGTGGAAATACAGTAAATATTTACTAAACACAGATTTTAAAACATTCTTTGTAAAACTATGTATTTGGTACTACCTTCTTTTTTTCTTTAACAAGGAGCCTTTGAGTGGCTCTTGAAAATTTAAACTAGGCCAACGTAAGAGCTCTGACAAAAATTCCTTAATTAACTATTGAAAGGTTCAGCTTTCATACAGGATGTGAGCCTTTGAAAAAGGTCAAATTGGTCTTTCGGGCCTCATTGTGAGCAGATATCAGTGGTTTGGCTCTCCAATGAGGATTACAGGTGCTCTTATGAAGGAAAGCATGAACAAAGGCTCCATTCTAGAAGTCCGGAATGCAGCCAATCAGTGTGAGCGGGCATTTTAATCACTTGACTGCCTCACAGTAGCCACTGGTCAGCATATGAAGCTCAGAGGTCAGCTCAGAGAACATTAAACCACACATGAACCTAAATCCCTTTAGATTTAAACATGAAAGACTACTGTCTGCCACGCCTAAGCTTTCATTCATAATTTGTCTAATTTATCCTAACTCTTTGTTAAAATAAAATATTGGTTCACAGGAAGTCTGGACGTCATAGTAGAGAAAACAGAACCTCTATCTATGTTTAACGAGAGGAAGAGGTCTGAATAGGGAGAGCAAGAGGTTATCAAGGATACAGTCAAATCTAAGCGGAACACAGCAGGAACGCCTTGCTGAAATCACAGATATTTCCCGAGATTGTGGATGAGTTTAACAAACACTACCCCAAACAGAACGCAGGAAGGGATATTACAGTTCTCTAGATATTCAAGCACATTTTTGATGCGCAATTATGCATGAGAATATGAGTGTACTGAGTATGCTAAATGTCTTCTGATGAAATGATGCAAGTGCTGCTGTGATATGTCATAATTCTCTCATCTATGATTCTTTTAACTTAATAGCTGGAAACTTCAGGCCTTCTCACCTCAGGGAAGTCTGTGAAATGAAACTATCTAGCACTGATGCTGAGAGGAACGCCTATAAACCTGCTTTCATCTAACTGTAATGCAAATAAGCCTAAAGGTCAGAGGAAATTTAGATGGAGATGTAACAAAACTAGGATGCAATAATTGACAAGGACAAGGAAACACTAAACGAGAAAGTATGGAAACAAAAGTGATTTTCTTTCAATATCCGGTCTGTAATCAAAATCTCCAAATTCAGCAGCACTTTGCAGTTCAACCAAGTCTGGTTCATTGTGTGTGGGCATGACCACAGAGGTAATCTGAGTCACTGCCACATCAGCTGATTTAATTCTGCAGATACAGGTACTTTAAAAAGACTTTATTGATTTCTGTGCAACAGTGATATGTTTTTATCAAGGCATGGCCCCACCTCTGTATCTCCTTTCCCCTTTTTTCCTTTCATCTTCCCTTTCTTCTTTTTGCGGTCATTTGCTTTTTTGTCTTTCTCTCTCTTCAGTTTTTTCTTCTTCTCCCTCTCTTCTTCTTTAGCAGCAAATTCAGCAGCTACCTTCAAAACATTTACTACATGTTAGCATTCTTAAACAAACATTAATGAAAAAGTACAGTGGTGTAGTCCAGATTAAAGAGGACAAATATAAAATTTACAGAACCTACAGAAACACCATTACTCATAAACTTTTTTGGTTCAAATTTCCCTCCCAACGTTTTTAAAATTTCTCTCCCAAAACAAAAAATATATGGGAAGAACTCTGTGTGAGAAACATAGTTTTCCTTAAAGATTTTTTAAAGATGAGGTAACACAGACTTCATGTCTGTGTGAACATATAGATAAACAAAGCAGATCGCGTGAACAAAGGCAAATCAATCATATTTTGAACTGTGAACTTCACACATGGGTAGGATACATTAGCCAGGTCCAGCGCTGACACTCAGGGGAGCTGGGGCAGGTTTAGAATAACAGGGTAAAAGTGTCAGTCAGAGCCCAGCCTGAGCTCTCTGCTCTAGCTAACTTAATCAGTAGCACATAGCTAAAACTCACTTCCAATGTGGTAGCACATGATAAAAGCTGTACTACTGTAATGCAGAGGATTGAATTTCACCTAAATCTGCTCACTAGAAGAATAAAATAAAATAGATTCACTTCATTTAGAATAAACCAAACATACTTATTCAACAACTTCAATGAAGGGACTGTACAACGAAACTGCTGATTTCTCTCTCATCTACCTCAGTGTAGAGTGCATTAGCGCCCACCCAGTTTTTTTTGTTGAAGTGTTATGTCATCAACCAAGCCAACTAGCTACAAGGTGAATCAGAACAGAAAACTGTGTACTTAGCAGCTTTAGGAAGGGAAGGAACTACAATCCTATGAAGAATAACATAATCAAAATAAAACAATGGAAAAATATAGAACTATTAATTCCGAGCAACCTTGAAATTTCTTTATAGGTTATCATTGAAAAAAAAATCCCTATGGAGAAAATGAATTTAGTTTTTACTTCCGGAACCCGACTGTATGTTAGCAGGATTCAAATGGTAATAACGGTGAAGTGTTTATATGTTTTAAAGCATATGTATGGCTGGCTGTTCAAATACTCCACCTTTCACTCTTCCACTTCATCAGCACATGGAAACCACGCCAACATACTTCACCTTGCAGGTCCTGACCTGGTATCCCATACATCCCTTATACAACCAGCAGGGGCCCAGCAAGGTCACTGGAAGGGGCCAGAGAAAGGGGCCACTAACTGGAGACAAAGCTACTGAACTCCCCCCCACAACATTGTGTTGTCCAACTGAGATGACTTATGACTGTTGTCTCCACATTAATGGGCAGCAGCATGCAGTGGCAGGCCATAAATCAGGCTGGAATGCACTAATCAGCCCAGTCTCACTCTACACCATGCACACTTGAAAATAGCACATGCATTAGCTAAGCATAAACAGCCCTGGGTTAAAGTGACCATCGCCTTGACTGCTTACATTCCAGCTTCTGCACAAAAGAAAGAGACGACGGGCCAGGAATGTACTTTACAATTAGACTGAAATCATGGATTGAGTGGATGGAGATGCAAGGAAAAGCTCTTGTGAGTATGGAAGCAAATTAGCAGATTAGCAAAAGGAGACATTGGCTGAGGGGAAGTCTAAAAGGTAGAAGATTACATAGAGGTGATTAGTTCCAGAGATTCTGAGAAAGTAATTGACGGAATGCTGAGGAAATGGAAAGTGGAAAACTATTATTGAAATTTTGCCACAATTTGCCACAGTTACTTATACCTCCTTATAAGAGTGTCCACGATAAAGAAACAAATCTTTTAAAACTCTAGTTTAAAACATATGTGTCAAGTTCTTATAAATGTAATATTTTATACATATTGGTCTTATATGGTTTTGAAAAACTTTAATAATACCATATTCACAAAAGGTTTCAATTTAATGACGCCAAAAATGTCATGTGGTGTAACCATCAAGTAAAACGTATCAACAGATTTTCATTACAGATAAAAAATACATGTGAGCAAACACATTTTAATCATTATTTTAAAAATGTTTTTAAATATATATTTTTCAAGATAAAAAAAGTATTTTTTAAGGCACATAAGTCATAAGTCACACTCATTGTACTCTATAACACTCCATAAGGCCATGTGATTTTTTTTTAAAGACTTGACCTTGACATATAGTCACTATGACCGTGACTCACTATATAATAATGTTCGACCATATGGCTTTGTGGCACATGACTTTTATTTTGTGGAAAAATGTTTATATCACTATGCAGTAAAGCACTTTTTTGTTAAGTATCTTTTTTTATTATAAGAAATAATAATAAAGATTATGCCGAACTACTACTAACAAGGGTTTCTTTTCAAAACATTTCAATATATTTTTTTCTTCCTATCAGGACAGTTTTATCATCCTGACATTTTATTGTCTTACATTGACTATCGAAATTATTTGAATACATTCTCATCAGAAAAAGTTTACAAGTCATTGTATGTATGAATTGCATTATTGATTTATTCCTGAATAAAAATTTATATATAGGACCAAAAAAAAAAAAAAGCATCATGTGTTTGACCCACCTATAATTTTTTTTTTTTTTTTACTAAAATGTAACCCTACCCAAAAAACTGTATCAATGATTTTTGTGTATGGCTTACCTACACTCAATAAACCACTGGCGTATTTGTTTGTGCAAGCTCTCTTTAACATCAGGTCCATCGACAGACCGCACTGACTCTTTGATGCTGACCAGTGCCTTCTGGTACTCAGCCTCATGCTCCTCCTGCACACAATGCCTCCTGCTTTCCACCTGCTGGGCATGCAGTTGGGCAGGGCTGGGTGTCGTTTGCTGGGCTGGTATCTGGAAAAAGGGCACCAGGAGACAAGAGATAGAAAAACTAAAAACACAAGGTTCAAAAAAGTTCTGATTGTTTTTTGATCGAAAATAGCAGAAGATATGTACAAAACAACAAATTCATGAAAATACTTGCTTTTCACAAACAGTAAACTCGCAGAGCATCCTGGTGTTTACCAATCCCAAAAATATCATCTCCTCTAGACACTCCTTGTTGACCCTCCTCCTGTCTCGATGCCCCCGCCAAACCTAGAAGACAGAGTGAAAAACACATCATAATAGCAGGAAAAATGGAAAACTGAGGCAGAGGATACATACCAGAAATGATACTATCAGTCATGTTGAGATCAAGAGCATTCTTCCGGTTATCTGGTTAGAAACAATATACCATCTTCTTGCTTTCACTGTGGACTTTTGGATGAGAGGAATGTACAGTATAATAGCAACCGAAATCCTAATCTGGCAAACTGATTTTTATCATTCAGTTTGTCATTGAGGATGTGGGGAGATTCATATTTAGATAACCTCAACAACACTAAGGCAGATCAATCTCAAGACTCAGCTAACAGTTCATAAATGCAGGCAAGGATTGTTCCTGTATTTTTTTTAATAAATCCTCCTTTTTAGTTTGAATGACTGATGCTAAAACAACAAGAGCCAACTGAAGAGAGAGGATTATGTTTCCAAGGTTTCACAGCACAGAAATCTGCTTTGCTGTGAGAATGAGAGCGAAGGGAGGATTAGACCTTGTGAAAACAGCCCTGCAGTGTGAGAGCTCAACATCTCTGTTTATCACCTCCTGTAATCACATTCACTATGACTTTCAAACACAGTACAAAATGCTTGTTGGATGAGCTTTTTGAAAGTGAATTACAATGAGCGGCAATGCTGAGGCTCCTTAAGGACATTCATCTAAGCTTTTCTGTACCTTTTCACTCAGCAATGTCAGTTTCACACCTGTGTTGTAAAAAACTTCAGAGCTCCAAAATCATATCTGCTATCTCTTTCAGGCTACATCTATGTCTGGGTTCAACAACCGTAGTGAACCCTCACTCAAAAAGACGTCAGGATACATGAGCTCAGATTTCATGATTAGGATGGCACTGAAAAACAACACCTAAAATCCAGGAATGCTTTCCTCTTCCCATCTCTCAGCACTACAATGCTAATCTCCCTCCTGCTGCCAAAGGGCCTACAAGCACATTATTCCCACAGATGAGGTGGACAAGTATCTTTTATGCTTGGATGGGATCGCATGTCATTCATAGTCCTTTGTGAGCAGACTTCATGTCAAAACTGATGAATGTGATAGGAGATGGCCTGACCTCTACAACATTTGAGTTCATGCACAGGCAGGGGTAGGAAGTAGACATTACCTCCCTTGTGTATGATGATAGATCATCAACTTCAATTTAGATAATGATATATTTATTGTTATAATGTATGATGTGTTTATCATCTTAATGGCCATAACAATTTTTTTAACAATTTTTCTCAATAGCCAAATGGCATACTCTGATGAATGGGTACTCATAAGTTTCATTCATGAATACATGTGAGGCCTGTGAGAAATGTCCACCAACCAATAAATAAATAAAAAATTAAAATAATATAAAAAATTCAAGGCAACATGATGCACTCATATTTTTATGTTCTCCTAGTGATTGTCTAATTGCCCTAAGTAACATTACTTTGTTTAGTCAATGTGAAAATGTTTCTTTACTAAATGTAAAATGCATAATTTGGCCAGTAAATTTGTGATGACAACTACAAATGTTTTGTTCAGCAAACTTCCAGTAAGTAACACAATAAATAGATCTGTAACTAAAGATTACATAAGTAACTCAGGTTACTTACAGTATGTAACCATGGTTCTCTGAGTAGGGAATGAGACACTGCGTCATCTAGGGGGCGCTATGGGGAACGCCTCGTCGTGACCCGCATCTGAAGCATACATTGAAAAAACACCAACAAGCCCATGACGTCACTACCGGTGCGACTATTAGAATAAATAGGCGCCGGGAGAACATGTCATTCACTTCTTCGTCTGAAGCTTGCATTCGAAGCATGGCAGGAAGCCTAGAGGACGCAGTATCTCGTTCCCTACTCAGGGAGCCATGGTTACATAAGTAACCTGAGCCGTTCCCTTTCAAGGGGGGCAAACACCCAGCTCTCAAACGAGAGGGGAGCTCGACCTACCGCATGTTCCAATGCTGGAACAGCTAGCAATAATTTACTTAGCTGAGGGAGCAACACACCCAGCTCTTCAAACGAGAGGGGGGAGGCTTGGACCTACAGCATGTTCCAATGCTGAAACTGCAACCAGTAAGTTACCTAGCTGAGGGAGCATAGACCCAGCTCTCAACGAGAGAGGGGGCTCGCACAGCATGATCGTTAGAAATCAGAGGGTAAGCGTACTGCAAGCTAGCCAAAAAACTCAGCGCATCAGAGAGGCGGAGCGAAGGGCCTATGTTCCCTTGATGCTGCGGCTGCCAGTTGCTCTGGGAAAAACAGAGAACTCAACTCTCACGTGAGAGGAGAACTCCGAATTCAGAAAGAATAGCGCGCTCATAGGCAACCCTTTGGTAAAAGGGGAGCACTGCTAATATTACCACGAGAGCAGCCCAAGGAGCAAACCCGGGCGCACTTACCACTACTGTGGATTTTAGAAAGTGTGCAAAGTGTTAAACATGCACACTTACCACTATGTGGATTTCAGAAAGTGCACAGAGCTTAGCGTGTGCACTTACCATAGCATGGATTAACATTTCCATTAGCATGATCACAGATACTCGGAGGTACTGGGCCAAACAGGAGAGGGAAGTTCAAATACGACCCTCTAAGGTGAGGGGAGCACTGCCTGAGACAGCATACACAAGAAGGTTCTCGCAAATGCCACCTATACTTCCCGCTCGATGCCTCAGCAAGACGGGATATCCTGGATCCCAGACATCCAGGAATTTTTGGAAGGAACTCGTCGTGCCGGGGGCCTGATGATCAAGAAGGCTCCCGCAGAAGCCTCTGACCTGGCCGCATGATCCAGGAAGCATCAAGCCGGAACCAGGGCTATCATACCGGCTGGACATAATGTCGACGAGTGAGGTAACACTGCAAGTCGAGCACCTGGTTTCTGAATCCAGCAAAGGTGTGCTCACAGAGGACCTACCTTAGAGAGGACAGAAACACAAAGGTCCCGGAAACACTGCAAAGACATCTCACAGAAGGATTATACACACATAACCACCAGCACATTAAATACATATATACAGTGGGTACGGAAAGTATTCAGACCCCCTTAAATTTTTCACTCTTTGTTATATTGCAGCCATTTGCTAAAATCATTTAAGTTAATTTTTTTCCTCATTAATGTACACACAGCACACCATATTGACAGAAAATAACCTCGGTCAGGTGGAGAGCTGGTGGTTATAGGGGAATTAGGAGCTAAGGGCAGATGTAAGACCCCCCACTCTGATCTGGACGAAAGCGCTTATGCCTTGTCTGGATCACATCCCTAGGTCTTGTCTACCTCACTTTGACCCGTGATTCCTTCTAACCCTACCCGCAGGCGGGGGAGGAGCGCGAGCCGCGACACTAGCTTTCTGTGCCCGTCTCTGATCCTCAGACCGAGACGGACCAGGACCCCTATGTTGTTCAGGCTCAGACCTGGACCTTTGTGGAATGAAGGATTTGAAGGCCGCTGAGCATGCCTTCGCCTCCCTGAACTTCTCGACCACGGTCTCAACGGAGGTCCCGAAAAATTTGGAAGGCAAAACCGGAGCATCGAGACGAAAGCCCCTCTCTTTCTTCCCGATATCTGCCAGGTTCACCCACAGATGTCTCTCCGTTACTACCATTGCCGCCATAGACCTGCCCATAGCGGAGGCGGCCTGCTTAGTAGCACGGAGAGCAAGATCCGTGGTGCGGCACAGCTCAGCTATCTCGTCAGAAGAAAGGCCCTCGCCTTTATCCAGGTCTTTCAGCAGATCAGCCTGGTATGCTTGGAGCACCGCCATCGTGTGCAGCGAAGCAACAGCCTGACCTGCTGCTGCGTATGCCTTGCCAT